AATTATATAGGTAACAAGCTATGTATGTAGTAGGAAGAAAAGATAAACTTTCAAAGTAAAAACCTTATAGCAGCCTTTTTCCATCAAGAGGAATAAGTAAAGACACACTTAAAACCCAGACTCAAAAGAAAATTCCTGCTCACAGGACCATCTTCATATGAACCTCTCACAATTCAATATAGCAAAACCTCAGCTCATTCAAAACCCAGGCTACCAAAAGAGAAGTGCAAAAGATCTATGCAAAGACCCTATAAGAACAAATGAGAAAAAGAACTAGAAAACTAATAATAAAATCAAAAGACACTTATCAAGGCAAGAAACTTTTCATACATATACATAAATATATATGTGTAAACTTCATACATATATGTATATACACATATACATATATATGTGTGTGGTGTACACACACATACACAAAACTGGTCAGTTTAGAAAAGTAGTAAACAAGAACCAAAGCATTATAGAAAAAAAGGTGATCATGAGAATAGTAGAGGAAAAATACAAACTAAAGTATCAGTAATGTACATTGAGAAAATAGAGCCAAATTAAGTGGACATAAAGAGTTAAAAGGGATTATAGAGAAAATAACAGATATCAAAAATACACAAGGAAAGCCTACATAAATAAATAAATACTTGGAGTCTTTATATTTAATGGGATAAAATTAAAGAAATGATTTAGAAATGCTTTCCAAAAATAAAAAATTTGATTAAAAATTTGAACAGACACAATGTCCCAGGAGAGAGTAACACAGAGACATACATAATAAAGCGACAGATCTTCAAAGACAAAGAATTCTTTGGGGAGCTATGCAAAAATGTCATTTACAAAGGAAAAAAATTAAGAACAACCTCAAATTTCCCCAGAGTAAACTTCAAACCAGAAAATAGTGGAGCAATGCTATTATAGCTTGGACCTGAAATGTTTCCCAAAGGCTCATGTGTCGAAAGTCTGATCCTCAATGCAGCAATATTCAGAGGTAGAGCCTTAGGTGATTGGATCACAAGGGCTCTAATTGCTACATGGGCTATTGGGAGACCGCAGAAACTTTAGGAGCCAGGGCCTAGTTGGAGGAGCTGGGTCACTGAGGTCATGCCCTTGAAGGATATATTTATTTTGTCCCTGCCTCTTCCTCTCTCCTTTGACTTCTTTGCTGGCCACCATGAGGTGAGCAGCTTTGCTCCACCCTATGTTCCCCACCATGATGTTCTGCCTTACCATAGGCCCAGAGCAATGGGACAAAGTAACCATAGACTAAAACCCCTGAAACCATGAGTCAAAAATAAAGCTTTCCTCCTTTTAGTTGATTTTCTCAAGTATTTCATCACAGTAACATAAAGCTAAAAACAAATCCTTATAAAATTCTCAAGAAGATAAAGACATACACATTTTTTAATACATGATGAGTCCTTCTCGAAGAAAATACTAGATTATGAACTTCAGGAAACCAATAAATGAAAACAACAGGACTATCATTGAATTTGAATCCACTTTACTGTAGGAAAAAAATGAAAGCAAATAAAGAGATTAGAGCAACAGAGTAGAATGAAATTTTGAGAGAAGAACTGGTATAACTATTTCATACTAATATATGTTCTGTTCCCATCCTTTATAGAAAGGGGATAAAAGATACCATTGGAAGATGATAAAGTAAAAAGAATGACACTGATTTAGTAGGACAAAAGTAAATGCTAAAAAAAAAGCACTAAAATTAAATGGAAAGGAGGCAGGAAAGAAAAAAAGAAAATATATGATTTGTGACAACTCCCAGTGTTAATAGCTTCTGTCTAAACAGAGGATTAAAGGTTTTATTCTGAATTATGGTTATAACAGTATTCTTAAGATAAAAAGAAAAAATATTTGCCAAAGTATTACAATAAACACACACATTTGAAAAGTTTATAAAACACATTTCACTACAGATATTACAACACCAAACCATAACATAAAATAAAATGACAGAATTAGTTCAAGTTTAGTGACAGCCAGTGGTGTGCTGGTAAATGCTTAATGACAGGAATTAGATTGAGGAGGGGAAAAAAATAAAACACCTTTGCTTGTAGCTCTGCTGATTTCCATGGCCCCTCCATGGTCCCTTTCAAGCTATGAATCTGATTTTGCTGCATGTGAGCTGGTAGGAGCTGGTTCCAGCTCACCACTGCGGACAGCAATTAGCAGAAGTCAGCTTTGAAAAGGAAGTTTGTATTAGAATATAAAGCAAAGCCAATTCATTACTGCATCCAAAGCCTCTTTTAAAAAAAAAATTGAAAACTTTGAAAGTAAAGCACTGGATAAACATATACAAGGCAAATGGTGGGAAAGGTGGGAAGAGGGAGCATTCTCTTACATCAGATAAAGAAACCTGTATCAAATGAGATGTCTCAAAAAGTGCTTTATAATAATAAAATATGCAAAATAAAAATTATGAATATCTATTCACCAGCATAACATCAATACTTGTAGACAAAATTTGTAAGGAGTTATGAGGAGAAAGGGATGATGTATTAGTGGAAAGAGATTTTACCACCCTCAGTCCAAGAAATCCAAGTGAACAGAAATGAATAAAAAAATACACAAAAGACTGAAATTGTATAATAAAATGTTGACGATCTAAACAACATACTAACACTTTATGTCAAATTACACATCCTAGAGGAAGACTCACCACTTTCTTTCCAAGAAAGCATGAAAAGGAAAAGTCATAAAAATCAATGGCATATTAAACCACAAGAAGACACAAATCAAATTTGTCTAAATAGAGAAATACTCTTCAGGCAACATTCTTTGATCATAATAAAATCCAGAAGTTTATAATAAAGTTTTAAAAAGAAAAATTTCCTACTACCTGGAAATTCTAATTTCACAATTTTAAATAATTTTCGGTTAAATGGGAATTCAAAACTGAAATTGCAGAATATAGTACAAAAAATAATTATCAGATTACATATCTGAATATATTGGATGTAACTATAGCAGTGTTTAGAGGAAATTATATAGCCTAAATTTGTACATTAATAAACAAAAGGAGAAACTTTTTAAATTAAAAAAAAGAGAGCAATAAAACCCAAAAGAAAGAAGCCAAGCACAGTGGTGCATGCCTGTAATCCCAGTTACTCAGGAAGCTGCATCAGGGAGATCTTGCTTCAAGGCCAGCCTGGGACACATATCAAGACTCTCATCTAAATAAATAAATAAATAGAAAACAAATGGAAGAAAATCATGAAGACAAAGGCAGGTGTATTATGAATTCAAATGTTTTTAAAAGTTGGAATATTTTTTAGATATCCAAAAGCTGGTTCTTTGTAGGTCTAGGTAGAAAGTAATAAAACTGATTTACTGTTAATGTAATTTTATTAAAGGATACATGCAGTTTTATAAATTGGACTATAATAGAGGAAATAATTGCAAACAGAACTGTCAGAGTCAATTTTGTAAAACTCTATGCAACTAATTTTGAAAATTCAAATGAAATATATAGTGATCTAATAAAATTAATTATATTAAAATGTAACTTACCAAAATTGGTCTAAATAGATCAATTACTACAAACTTATTTACAACATGGCAAAGGCCTGTCTTCCAAAAATACTAAGACAGTTTCAAATATGACTGTTTCTAAACTTACAAAAAGCAGGTGATCCCAATAATATTTGGATTATGGTAGACCATAGAAAAAGAAAGAATTTCCATCTTGGAACTATATCTTTTAGGAAAAGACAC